GATGATTAGTTTTGCAAACGGTCTTACTATTTCTCTATTCTAGAATCACGATATACGATAGGAATGGATTTCATCCTACCATGATAATTCTTTTACTGTTCCAAAAAGACTTATATTTCATGAAATGAAACAGCTGTCCGCATGCCTCAGATTTATATAGCCCTCATTTCGTATGCAAACTGCTCTTCAATCAGACGTTCAAAGTTTAAACTTCCAGCTGAAACATATCAGCCTTTCAAGACTGTTCACGTAGCTTTTGACCAATGAGTATGACTAAACTGTACGTATTAATAAGTTAATAGGTAATAGTGCGCCTCCAAGAGTTTGCAACGCGTAGGCAAGTCACAATGCGCGATATCTGTCGACCAAATGCGAGTTTGATTTTGCGTGTTGTAATTGGCCAACGTGTTGCAAACTATTGGAGGCGCACTATTGTGAATCGTCCGTATTATACTTCTATTTTTTTTCAAACAACCTGTACCCATGTAGTTTGTGTCTCTTGCTCGAAGTCATAAACAATATCATAATTGTTTACGAGATTTGGGCGCACACAACATCGTTTAAAAACGGCCATGTCATGGGCTCTATGGAAGGAATGCCTAAACTGTCCTGAGTAAGTATGATTTTTTTTTTTTTGCTAATGGGGTTACGCATTATTCAATCCCGGATTAAAAGATGACAACAGTTAGTAAGGTGTATCGTTCACGGGACATCATAATGTATCCCCTCTCTTGTATATGTCTGTTGGCAATATGAAAAACGGAAGTTCATCAGTTAATGCAGTTTGGTCCGCTCATTTCCATAACAGAGGCTCAATCAACGGACGAAATCACCAACTTAGTTCAGTTCAGCAAGCTTGTTATGTGCCTGGGAAACATTGGCTACACGGAAGGGTTGGAATACAACGGTTATGGATGCTTTTGTGGCAAAGGAGGGAAAGGCACACCTGTGGACGCAACTGACAGGTTGGAATGGGAATCGAGAGGGTTAATTTGCAGGAAACCCAGGTGGTTTAATAAGGGACTTACTCTTTTTAAGAGTGCTGCTTTCACCCTTTTTCATTTTGAAACCAGTCTGTGGGAAAACTTTGTCAGTAATATCGCGAAGAAATAATGGTGTGTGTTCATAAGCAGGAAGTGTAAGTGATGCACGTTATCCCAGCTAATATATAACAAAAGTTGTATTTCTCGTCAGATGCTGCGAGGTTCACGACAACTGTTACGGACAAGCCGTGAAAGAGGGAAAGTGCTGGTCTATCGAAACCTACGGTACCACGTATTGGTACGACAAATCCACGTCTTCTGGGAGCTGTTCCATCAGATGCTGTAAGATGTATTTACATATTTCGACCCTGTTGATTGTTTACTACTGGTAATATTTCGTTTGAGAAGTTATTGCTGATTATTTACAATTGGTTCCCATTCCATACATCGATATTATTGAGCATCCAACATCATGGGCACCTATAATGGGTGGCACTATGACGTCTGCACAGGATAGCGAATCGCACCGTAGCCTTGTATAGTACAACGCCAGTTAGAGGAATACTGCAGTATCCAACGTTCTCGATTTCGACATTTTTCATGCGCTTTTCTTAAGGTTTTCCCGAATTTACGGTTATTCCAAAAAATGCGTATGGGATCATTGACAATGACTTGAAATTTGAGGAGAGTTGACATATTACCACTACATGAAAAAAATCTTCCTTCCCTTGATTGCTTCAAAGGCAACAACGTTACCTGAACATGAACACGGAAAATACATATGCAGATATAGACAGTTTACCCCTCTGTGATTTATTAACTGAGGATCTTCAGGGCACATTTTGCTATTAAGTTCAATTATTTTTAACAACGCTTGTATGATATATCTGCGGTTTCCAAAAAAGTACGTTGTGCCTCTGTGGAACCTGGGCATGTCATGATGATGTCATCAGAGGACATGTAAAGGTGCCCTTTGTGTGCAATATTCACAGCTGTATATATCAAAAAAATACAAGTCAAGGCTGAATCTAGTCAGCCGTGTATTGATGCAAATGTAGGTGACATCACGATGAAGTCAACGGTGGTTATACGGTGGTTATGTGAGGGCGCCCTACATGTGCAATGTTCACAGCTCTATATATCCAAAAGTACAAGCCCTGTTGGGTTCAAACTTGATATGTGCATGCCCTGTGTTATAGATAAAGATAAAGGTGACGTCATGATGACATCATCAGTTGTTTTTTATTTGTTAGAATGTACATATTTTAATATTCTTTTCGATATATATCGCAAACCAAGTTATTTTCGACATCCCTTTTGTATACAAGGGCAATGTAACCTACATATATGTAGCCTATATGTGAGCCCATCATAAGTGGCCAAATGAGCCCGTGTTTGCCTACAAACACATATAATTTTTATTTTCTTCTTCTTCTTTTTTTCCATTTTGTCTAGGGGAAGAGAACGAATACAACCGGTTTGTCCCAAGTAAAGCATGCAAGGCCGCTATCTGTGAATGCGACCGCAAGGCGGCGCAGTGCTTCGCCGACAACCGGCCTACGTTCAACCGCAAATATCTCAGTTATGCCAAGGACACCTGCTAATTAATACTCGAATAAGTACTTGACTTGCATACCGCCGCTGGTTGAGAACGGATTGAATAAATATCTGGAGTAATGAATTAACGTATTAACAAAATCATGATGAAAACGAGATTTTCTGGAAAAAAAAGGTCTTTTAGAGTTTGACAGTGGTAGCTACATAAACGATATGGTGACATTTTATTTTACAAGAGCCTTATTGAAGTATAACGAATTTAAGATTTACACACGACACAATTATGGAAAATGTTGTGGTAATGAGTACTGACAGGCAGTATTTTTCACGACCATTTGAGACTTCCTTCTCCCGCTAATTACCAAGCTGAAAATTCCACATTCCACACGGCGCATGACAAGTAGGCTTGTCATTTGCAAGACGGATTTTTAAGTTTGTCAAGATCTTTTGTTGATGATAGTACTGGTAAGAAAAATTGGCAATAACCACTTTTAAACATATGGAGATTTGATATTGATTTTCACATTCAAAATTGAAAATTTTGGTGATTTACTCGATAGGCAGAAAACAATAGGGAGAACGATGCTTGTTCTCCAATTACTCGAAAGAAAAACACAAATTTTACGATCTCTCATGACATTCACCTCCCCGAATTCACCATTATAGACACTGCAAGCCCTAGTTACACCAATCGGATAAGAGGACATTCATTAAATCAACATTTTTGATTTCATTTTTGGGATCTACCGAGTTTGGTGGTCATAAAAAATATATATACTTCGAATTAACTTAAAGACAAGATCGCCTTAACAATTTCTAAAATCTGCAGTCTTTATTAATGAATTAGTTATCGCAACTAACAAAAACTTGATACCCATTGTTAAAAAATCGAGAACAACTCCTCAAGGGAAATGAGAGAGAGGCTCTAGAAAATCAGACTTGACATCAACAAAACTAGAAGAATTAAATTTATTCACATTATTGAAAATTATACATACACACCGTGGGGTTAATCTATTCGGTATTTGTTTCCATTACATTTTGGTGGATGTATTTGTATTGACTCCGTAGTGTATTGTCAGAGTATGCAGAAAGAGCGGACCAATGATTCTCAAATCCCCTTTCCGAATATGGCATTTCTTTCCAAATTGTCATCTTACATTCTCGCATTATTAGTCTCTGTGTGAATCTTTAGTGCATATTTTGATTATAAAAGGGGTACTTTATGGTTGATCTGTCGACTGACTTCACGGCACACTTTTAGGTTCAGTCACATGGTCGAATACATTGTACTCAAACATAACAGTATGTTAGGCTCAGAACAATTGTTGAACAACTAAAATCCGGTTTGGTGTCTTGGATGTATTATTTCATTAGGACTTTTAGTGGGCCCGATACCGACTTATAGAGCCTTAGCTTGGCGTTTGGGGAACTGAACTGAGTCGAACTGAATGGGAACCTAATTAGTTGAATTTAACCGAGTCGATCTGAATAGGAACTTAGTTGAATGGAACTTAGCTTAACTAACTATAATCAGATAATTATATTGAATAAATTCAGATATTCATAGAGGTTTCCTAGTTATATATCATTTGGTTTTGTCAATGTTAAAGTCATTGCATATTATCGCTGCTCATAGCACGGGAGTCAAATTTCGTATTCATTCTTGTCTCTGTCAATCTTCACTTTTTGGAGCAAATCAATAGTTAAATTATTTTGATTGGTTTCTTTTATGGTGGGATATATCTGACTCTTCTTGCCTCAAAGTTTTTCGTCCATCACTGTCTTGCCCGGCCCTTGCTATTTGTAACTAATCGTTTAATTGGCAGACCTTCCTACCCTAAGCGTGGTGCATGTAACATTGCCCCATGGTCATTCGATGGTCGCGACATTTATATCAAAATGTGTTTTGTCACATATAGATCAGTCACATTGGTCATTGGTACCGATATCATGACTAACTAAAAATCTTCACTTGGGGAGTTCAGTTCCAACGCTAGAATGCTCAGAGTAAAAAAAAAATGTTGCTGGGGGCAGCAAACAAATCTAGGGTAAATCGATGATGTTGTGG